TTTTTCTTCAACAGGATTGAAATCATTCTTGCCTCACTTATTTGAAGATCTACGTTACCATAAACTGAATTCCTACATATTTTTAATTGTATCCACAACACTTGATACCTGCATTTTTTAATCTGCATTTCCAAGACTTTTTATTTCTAGTAAAGGGAAGTAACTTAATTACAAACTCTTTCAGTCGACTATAAACAGAGGTTCTCTCAGGTGGTAGTCTCACAAAACTTAGAAATGCAGTTTGAGGAAGACAGAGGCAGTCTGTGTACTTTGCCTCACAGCTCAATCCTTTCAGTTTTTCTATTTGATCCAGAAATAACAACAACAACAACAATAATAATAACAATAACAACAGCAACTCTTGACTTCAGCCCAGTCTAAGATGCTTCATGATATCAAAGATGTAACTTCTGCCTGACAACTACTACAATTCCTTGGACATGATAAACATTTCATGGGTGTTGTAAGATTAATGAATGAATGGAATAAATGATAGTACAGTTTAGAATTTGGCCCACAAAGTCCCATTTTTGAAAGTTGTGGTTACCAAGGTGTTGCTATTGGTTGATGGGGGAACCTTTACAGGTAAGGCCCAGTAAAAAGTTGTCTTCAGGACTTTAAGGATGTGTCATTTAAGGGATTGTGGACCCAGGCTCCCTCCCATCTTCCTTGTGTCTTGGCCATAGGTGGGTGGTTTACATTTGCAGTGTACTCTTGTCTTGATGTATTGCCTTGCCACAGGCACAAAGCCAACCAGCCACGGAGTGAGCCTCCAATCCATGGACCAGATACCCCTTTTCTTTTATGTAAGTTGATTATCTCAGACACTGCATTACAGTGATGGAAAGCTGACTCACACAAATGACTTTTTGTCTTTTCTGTGTGTGTTTATATTAAACATAGACAGAATTGAAAGACATTATACAAATTACAGAATAAGTGAGTAGGCAATTTAAGAAATAGTATTTGCTAAGTATAAAAGTAACAGTGTCAAATCGCTAGGTGAACAATTATCTTTTTTTAAACAAGTGGTGCAGAGGTAGAAATTATTGCAGCCCAATGACCCAGGGTCTGTAGACAGAAACTATGCCCAAACACTAAGAGGATGCTGAGTCTTTAAAGCATAAAATACTATTGTCTGATGCCTAAGATGTGATATTTATTTTCTTCCCACTTGAATTTTTTTCATTAGGTAACAATTAAGTCACTGAGTACCTGACTTACCTGCCCCCTGAATCACTGCCCGGAAAGAATGTTCACACGATGGAGATGCCAAAAGGTCAGATGGAAAGGAACAGTAACACTTTGCTCCTGGATTTACATTTTTATAAATGCACTCAGGATATTTTCATTGTATTCCCACAATATTCTTAAAATCTTTGAAATCTGAAAGTTAACTCATGAATATAATGGTTACTCATATAACAGGTGAAAAACTATATTCACTTTTTATCAAACCTATCAGCTTATTGCTATGGAAATAAAAATTGTGGAAGGGGCAACTGCAAACAGAACCAGAAGAGGTTAAGGAGACATGACACAAAACACAATATGCTAAACTGGATCAGATCTAGAACAGGAAAAAACAGTAGAAACACAAATACTGGGGAGATTCAAATGATGTCTGAAGTTAGTCAATGAAACAACTAACAGTTACATGCTTCAAAGTCAGTTTCTAATTTTTACTAATGTATCACAGTAATTAATGTATAATGTTAAGAAAAGGTAACACTTGATGATAGCTATAAGTACATAGGAACACTCTGTATTATTACTGTAATTTTTCCATAATTATACTTTTTCTATAAAAATAATTTTTAAAAACATAAATTTTCAAAAATGATGACCAAAGTTTTCAGAAAGTATAATTTCAATAATGATACATATTTTCAGCCTGTGATTTTTAAATTAATTATACGACTGTTACTTCTAAAATGAATCTATTTTGTTCTGTCACTATGATTTTTCTGCCAAATGCAGCACTAGGAAAAATGATTAAAAATTGAGAAATTGAAGTCATCCAATTGTGAAGCTTTTCGTGAGAAACAAAATGTATTCTCCGCTCTGGACACTAGGTGGGAGTATTGACCCATCTGTTAAAGCTGTTCTTAGGGCAGTTAAAATCTTCCATTTGGAAGCAAAAGATATTTGAGAAACTCTGTGATGTGACATTATTATATATACAGAGTAAGAGGAAAAATTTGCAATATTGAGATGAAGATAAAAAAATATAAACAGACTGTGGACAGGGCTCCAATATACTGAAGTCACCAAAAGTAAAATGGGGGGGAAAAAAGCTATTTATTCAAACATTTGCAGACTTGGTTATGAGTGCTGCTGAACAGATAGCACATCTGGAGAATTAAGGGACATCTATCTTCCCCAGACATGAATGCAGCATGCAATGTCTGAACCTACCAGGCATGGAAAGCTAAACTGCTGCTGGGCTTTTGGCTTGGGTGACATTTGGACTCCGGGGGAAACAGTTAGGCTGAATGTGGCCATGCAAAGTCCCTGTTGCCGGCTGCCTGCCCCTTCCTGAGGATGCCAGCTACCATCCAGGAAATACGGCCACTTTGTAGGGTTTGCCAAGGCAACGTGGAAGGACGAAGGCAAGTTACAAAGGCAAAAAGTTTTACAATGCATTCCTATTACTTAAAGATAGTTTTCCTTGTAGTTTCTGGCCTACCAATTTGGTTCATTTGTTTGAAAAAATCAGGTGTTCGTTATATTTCGGATATTAAGCCATGCAAATTCTGTGCTCTCTATGCAAACTCCCCCCAAAAAACTGACAGAGGTCTAAGAGTAAAACCTGACATGTTTTCAGAAATTTATTAGAATAGCAGACAAATCAGTCATAATGTGACAATTTCTTACCATCTTCTGGCCACAGGCCACATTCTACTGAATGTAAATGCTACAGAAATGGATATTATTAGTCCTTTGTTCATCTTGTGAATTACAGAAAATTTATACATGATGTTTGTAGAAAGTTTATCTTTGTGTGTCTTTCAAATAAAAAGACTGAGTAGCTAGGAAATTATCTCTGTTCCAATTGTAAGGAAAATTCATGGTATAGAAAAAGTTTAATTACTGATACATTTTTACATACAAAAGACCCATCCATCACCAATATTTGCATAAATCCATCTTTGCCTGCTTTTCAAGTATAAAAAGTTTCTAGATTCTTGGAAAATCATATCTCTTCCAATTGTAGAGAAAAATCCATTGAGCAGGAAAGAATGATTATAGATACTTTTAAATATTTGAAAAGAACTGTCTAAAACCGTATCTGTGTACTGGCACACGATTAGTGTAATATGAGACTTTACCTATGTCGAAGAGTATGCTCCATCTCTTTTATTTATTTGTACACGTGTTCTCTACCCTTGACATTTAGACAAAACTGAACTAACATCTCATATGTTGACTAATTAGCATGTATATGATGCCGATATGAATCTCAAAAAGATTATTTCATCAGAGCCCAATTACCGAATTTCTTTTCATTATCTTCTTTCTTTTTGTTCTCATGTACTTATTTGATCTTAATTTTTGCCATTTAAAGCAAGCATTTTCCCAGAGAAGTAGATCCAGGCCGTTAGGGCTGTCAGCATTAAGTGTGTAGACAGACAGCTGTTTATGGGAATGTAGGGCATTCTGAATGGAACCTGGCTCTCCCAGGGACGTTCCGTCTGCTTGCCAATTTTCCAGTGATAGTGAACATTTACAGTAATCAATAAATTCTTACCAAGCCCAAGGTAATTATAAGATAGCATTTTTATTCAAAGGGCACCCACATTATGTCTCAAACACATTTGAGGCAGAAAGATAAAATAATCCACTTGCTAGAAAATTTCTGCAAGGAACGACTCTGCCAGTAGGGGGCAGTGCCGCAGGTTTTCGTGGCTCTCCCATTGGAATGAGAGCTGAGGCCCAGTCTTAGAGCCATGGGACAGGGAGAAGGACGCGACGCTTTTAGTGTGGTCAATGACACCATAATCCGTAATTTTCCTCTCTGTTATTTGGCACATATATCACCTACAAAAGAAGAAAGTATAAGTCTCAGTTGGGTTTTATGTTACTGTTGTTCTACTATTTTTTCTTTATACAGCAGAAAATTGTAGTTACTTACACTGAAAGTCATGTATATGAAACATATGTGAAAATATCATTACATTTTGTCATTTACATTTGTAATGCATCAGGTTTGTTTTAAAACAGGCTAAAACATTAGAGTGAATAAAAGTTTTACTTTGTAAATAGCCGTTTTGATGTTCTTGGAATTCCAGAGTTCCCACACTAAAATCATATTTTTTGAAAGAAAAGAAAAAGAAGACAGAAATTGCACTGCCTTAGATTTTTCTATGGATCATTGCTTGATGGACGTATTTCCAGCAAGCGGGCTGTCAAAACAAAACAACTAAAACTGATAATTCTCAAACCACGAAACATTGACAACAAAAGTCTAACGAGTTCTGAGAAACACAGTTCATCAACAGAACTTGTTCTAGCAGGTTATTCAGGTCACTGTTCCCATCTGTAGTGTTTATCTCATCTTCGTGCATCAAGTTTGCTGTGCAGTGCAAACACTTCATCATTGTCTAAGATTCTTTGTGAATCTGCTTTTCTACCCAACTGATTCTTCTACATAGAAGATCATTCACTGGGAGAGAAGCAGTGTGGACTGTCATAAAAGTAAACAAAAGCCTCTGGGAAGTAAATTGTTAGTGGGAGCATCTAAATCAGAAGTGTCTCTTCTCTGCGGGTGTGTGTTTGAGGGCACTGCTGCAAAGCACTGACCGTTTGTTTGCCAGGCATAGTTTATACCTGATGGATAAGGAACAAGCAAAGGAGAGATGATGATGAATGTGTGCCTGCTCTGCAGAAATCTTTCAAAAGGAGTAACACTAACAAAAACAAAGGCAAACTGAAAAACGCGGTGGACCTCACCCTTGGACCAGGTGAGCGCTGGCCTCTTGTGCCTCCCCTGGCCATACATGAAGAAGAGTGAGCCATCCCAGGATTCACACCAGGGTGGTCGCTGGCTGTGTGCAGAATGTAAAGCAAACAAGGGCAAGCTACAGCCAGATGTGAGGGCTTTCAGGTTCACTGGCGGTTCCTGGGGTACCCAGAGTCAAAGCAGCACGTGCACGTTCCTGCTCTCCACTGGGAAACAGGGCTTTGAGGCTAGGGGGATCTGACCAGGTCCAGGTTTATAACTGGGTCTGTTTTTGACCCAGAAGGCACTATACTTGCTCCATTGCAAAAAGCACAAGGAAATACAAGTATGCCTTTGAAATATCATCAGATTGCTCCATGAAGTCTGATAAATTTGCAGATCCATCCTATGGGTAATGCGCATGCTAAGAGATTATTTCTATGCTTTCTGTGACTATGGGCATCTAGAAATGTGTCAACAGTTCTTGCTATGAAGTAGACAGGATTTTTGTTGAAAAAAGTAGCAAAGTATTTGGAGGGGCATCTCATTTTACATAATGTCCTCCTGACCCTTCACAGTTCCAAACTCAATCACTTAACCTGTGGTGTTAGTTACTCATATATTCTTTTGTTTTTGACTTTCTCAGGAACCTCAAATCCTAGGCATTTACCAAAGCATCCACGCGAACATGGTTTTGTGATGTTAAACCGGCTGTACACATGGCTCTGGGAAGATCTTATTCCCCTGCAGGGGAATCCAGGAAGATGTGAGCGTCAATTGTATTAGTTTCAAGCTACACTATTCAATTTCTTTGTGTTTAGCGCTTAGTAATAGAGGGCAACTGGTTTTGTCTTTTTTTCTTTCAGGTTTGGCTAATTTTATCTCCAGTTTTTTGGTTGTTTGTTTCTATTTCTTGAGTTGGTTGAAATGGAGAGGTGTAATTACTGACCATGGCTTTCTTTAATATAATAACAGATTGGTTTCTAGAAACAATTTGATTTCTAAAGTAGGCCTTCCTATTACCTTTCAACAGTGAAGTCTTCACTGATGTTTTCTAGGTTCTTCTCCAAGGGAAGCCAAACTCCATTTCATTGCACTGAAGTCTGTTTACTAAACTCGCTAAAATCGTCCTCTGACCTCACCTCCAGCTTCAAACCCTTTTTCACAGGCACTGACTTATTCATGGTTGCACCAAGCAGATGCTTGTTCTGTCACTTAATCTTTTCCACACTGGACAGTACAGCCAGCTTCTATCTGATAAGGGCTACAGCGTGAAGATTTCATTCATTAAGTCCGATTGCATGCTTTGTTTACATAAGAATTTATTCAAAATGGTTATTTTTCTCATAGGGCAAGAAGTAAGATTTGCTTAGTATTCCAAGTAAGAGACGTTGTTATCTCTAGAAATACCTATTCAAGGAAATCTTACCAATCCTCCACCCATTACTTATTTATATTTTTATTCAATTCACACATTTGAAACAAATTTATGTGTTAGAGTCATGGTGATCAATACTATCAATCTGCCTCCTAACTACAGTGTCTTTTCCACTGTAAATCTTTTTTTCACATGAGATTTTGCCAGAAGCTATGTTTGCATGCCTAACTAACAAGCAAGCCAGAAAAGCAATTAAGAAATTGGACACATAAGCTATTTGATGATTTACTTATTTTGGCCTATTGCAGATGGGGGAAATATATTGTGTTGTCTTGAGTATAACTCCAAATAATTATTTTACCTTTTAAGACAAAAAGGTGATATAGAAGGCTGACATTTTCCTTGCTCGTTGCCATAGTTTAAACACCAAGATATTTATTTACAGTGACTGATTGGATTCTTAAAGTTATTAGACACAAGAATTATACCACTTAGCAGCAGAAGACAAGAAACAGATATTTTAGAAAAAATCAATTTTCTTTCTTTATTCTACTCTATGAGACCATCGATTGTCCCAGTATTTGTACTGATGCAATTGATAATAGTACATTCCAGACGAAAGAACATCTATTTCACACTGGGGAGGCATGTGCTCTAATTACGCTTCTTAGGTACAGATAATTTCTTTAAGATCTAGTACGATTTCTCAGAATCAATTTCAGTTATTCTCATAGAAAAGCTTGTAACTATTTTTCATCTTTTCCTGAAACTTGTTATACGTGGCCCCATGTAAAATAAGTGTGAAGAGCTGAATCGTGTGGGCTCTAGCACTTCTCAGAAAAAATATAGCTACTATTGATTCTTAACTGACCCCTCAAAAATAAGTTCTCCCAAATTTACTTTTTTTCTAATTAGATGTTCCAGTTGCCATAGTGTGAGTTTTTCTGTTGTTTATTTGTTCCCAAACTCTGTAAAGATTTTGCTTCTCTAGGCAACGAGCTGGTTTTCCACATAGATAAGGTCAATTAATTTGACCTCTGGTTCAATATGAAATGCATAATAAAAGCTGGTGCCCCAAAGACCGGATGTTGCCTTTCAGGAAATCAACTTGCCAGGACAAGGAACAATAATTTATTACCTCATAAACCCCAGTTGAAATGCTCAGTGCAGCATATAGCAATGACAAGGAGCCTGTGTGTCTTTACACATTTATTTAAATATTCATTATTCTATGCAGTGGAAGAGGGATGAGGAAAAAGAACTAAGCTCCTGACCTTCAGGGAGGGGAACTAGCAAGAGCAAAAATATGACTGTTGATTCTTTAAATATATACATACAGACTTGAATTTCTGTTTATTTCAACTTTCTCTTCGCCAGAAAAAACCCTCACATGTAAGCTTGGAAGGATTTGTTATTGTATTTCATAATTTGAGCTATAGGAAATGTCTGAACTTGTCAGGAAGCAAATCATACAGAAAATCAAATTTTGCTGTTCACAATCAACAAACAAAAGTGACTGCTATTCAGAAAGGATCAGCGTATGGATCTGACTTATATATCTTTCATTTTTAACAAATTTTGGAAAATGAGATCTTTTATATTTTGGTTTTCACTTAATCCTGTGTCATTATCATTCTGTATATCATAGATGTTCATATATGTAATGAATGAAAATTTTATTCTTCCATTGAGTGTGCTATAATTGGCATTAATGTCTGGCTTTACTATGTATTTTTAACCCTGGATAAGCAATCTCCTTCAATCTTGGACCATATCTTCCCTTGTGTTTTAGAAATGAACTGAAAGAAACCATACAAGCATATTTGAAGTATCGATAACATATTTTCTCAGTGTAATTCACCATTTCCAGCCACCATGTGTATCCTAATCTATTATTTTAGTTATTGTTTTGAAACAGAATTATTTTTTTACACCTTGAATTGTAGATAAAATGTAATATAAAAGGCAGCGGATCCTCAAAATTTGAATGTAATTCTATAACAATTCTTTGCTCAGCTTTGCAAATGTACATGCTTGTCACATTTTCAGATTGTGAGATGACTCATGTTAGAAGCTAGTAGAAATTTTCGATAAGGTACAATTTCTGAGTCCAAGGTAACAGGATGAGGAGTAGGGTGTTATGGTAACAGGAGGCCACCATGTAATGTACAAGCAAGTTTTCAGGCCCTAAAAGATTCCAGTGTTTTTCATATGAAAGACAAAATGTGCATCCAAAGTGAGGGGAGGTGGCTTTAGAAAGGACATAGAAAGGAGGATAATCATGAAGCAAACAAACCTGTTTAATCCAGGTAGCCACACGTAATATAAACTAGAACTAAAACTTAAAGACATATCCAGCAGATCCTCTGAGCCAGTAAGTACAGTTTAAAACATTTATCCCAAGAAAATCACTGTCAATAGACTAAACAACTATTTAAGAAGAACATAATATATACCTGGAAAAGAAAATAAAAATGTGTTTTATTTCTATCCAAAGTTCAGTGAAACAAATTGCCTCTGCCATATACTTTGCCCATGACCTCCAATGCACTATTGGAGTTTCTGCTTTCTAATTTCTTTAAAATACTAAATTTTCTTCTTTCTCTAAGCTGTACAACGCAACAATCTGTTTCACTTCCTTAAAACTCATCAAAATATTATTTTGCTCTATCTCTGAATGATTCAGTATTGCACCCTTAAGCTATAAAAGGAGAAATCTTCCGATGTTCCTTCATCCAAGCCTCTTATGACCACAGTATTAACCTACGATTAAAGCCATTTGGATTATATTTCACCTTCATTGCTAGTTAAGTGGAAATTTTTGGACTATATTAAGGCCTTCATCAAAATTTACATCATTGTTTTCATGTAGAAAACGTGTTTCAAGTTTCAATAAAGTTACTTGGAAGCAGACGCATGCAGCTTGTATGTATGCTGAAAACAGTCCATGTATCTTTTCTTTTTGTTTATTTATACTATTTAAAGTTAAGGAGGATCCCTGCAGTCGTTAATTGCCTAAATTGTGATAAAATAAATGGAGATGGAAATTGTAATCTGGCTTGATTTTTCTGGTTCTTTTCCTGTACACATTATTCTTTCAATAGGGACTTTTTATAAATTCATTTTTGAGATTTTTTTTTAAATTGAATCTGAGGATTTACTAATATTTGTGTAGGAACAAAATCTGACATAAAAGAAGGAAAGGTATTTGAAATTATTAAATTACCCTCTTCTCATCACTTTACTGGGTGTGAGATGTATCTCTAAAACTGCCACTTTATTAATATCTCCAGAGATCCAGCTAGCTCAAAAGCATACCATTATCGGATTGCCTGGGTAAATCTTACAGCAAGAAAAATTCACCAAAATAATGTAATTTGTGTAACCACAATAAAACTCTATGAAATTGTGGCTATGTCCATATTTCTTTATGTGATTCTAAATAGCAGTTGGGTCAGGTTAAGAAGAAAAAGTTAAGATACATAACGGTAAAAAAGCAAGATGGAGAGGCGGTGGAAAGCTATGTGTCTCAGGAGCATAGAACTATCTGTTGTGTGCAGCAGAATTCTCACGACCCCAGAGCTGAACTTTGTAAATAGGCTTGGCATCAAACTCATGTCTGGAGAAAATAAAGAGGAAAAGAAAGGAAAGAAAGCGGCCCCCTGGCCTGCTCCGACACAGGCACAGACGCACACACATTTGGCCTGTGGGCACTGCTTATCATCAGACGCAAGTGGCCTGGTGGACCTTCAATTCCAGAGCTTTCTATCACTGGCCACAGGATGAAGTCGCCTTCTGCCATTTTATTTGTGAGCTATTTAACACAGAGCTTCTAACCAAGGATTTTAATGTCTCCCATTAGATTTTATTACTCTGAACGATGGTATCGGTTATCACAGTCAGCTATTTCCAGCTCTGTTTCTTAAAGAGGCTATTTCCAGTGAGCATTATAAACTTTCTAGCACATCCATGAGAAGGAAGACTGATGCATGATTAAGTCTAAGGTTTTAGTTTGGATTTGAGCCTCAACTCAGTTTAAGTATTGGGTTATTTGTCATTTTATTTTGTTTTTGTTTCTCCCTTAAAAAACTCTGAAAACCAGACTGAGAACCTTCTTTTGTATTGTAAGGACTCTGAAACACATGCTTAACCAGCTGATTGCTCAAGGCTTGACTCACATTAAGTGCAAAATATATAAATACTACTTGGATATAATTATTGCTGTTATTGTTATTAACAGGAACATTAATTGAAGTCATAGAAGTAGGAAGAAAGGATCACTAGATACAGGAATCTTAAGCTTATCTATTAATTTTGAACAAAATGAACTTAATTCAATGCACAGTGAGAAGCATCTTTTCTGACCTTCATGTGTCAAAGGGGAGGAATTCTACCCTGTGTGTTTAGGTACTCCAGACTGGAGATATTCATCAAATGGCTTAGAACTAATTGTCAATCAGATTGTGATAACATCTTTCATAAGTTTTCTAAAATTTTTTTGTTGGCTTTTTTGTATTTAACATTTTTATTTTAGACCGCACAAATAAAAACAAACAAACAATCAAAAAATGTGGAATGGGTTCTCCCAGTGCTGCAAACTCCTCCTTTCCCGGAAAGCAGAAGTGGACTGGTGCAGGACACCCTCCAGGCTACAAATGTTCGGGTTTTCCGCTGCTCGCAGTCTGCTGGATTTTGATCCCAGACTGGGTAGCAGCCTGGAACATTCTTCTTATCTCCTTCTTTGGCTTCTCCATCCCCTTCTTCATCTTCTTCATCACAGTTATCATCATCAAAACTTCTCCAGCAAAGCAGAATGCCATGCTGGATTCCACGCTGTTTCAAAGGCTGCAGCAAGGATGCTTCTCCACTTTTGATCCTATTATATCTGAATGTTTTTCACTAATATCACACAGAGAGATGTGACAGTAGGACAAATGAGTAAGTGCAAAATTGGACACGAGAATGTGGATCAATGTCTGATGTATTTTTATCTGAAAACTTCAGGCTTTTTCAACAGGAGTCAGAGATTTCCACTTGAATGCTGAATGCGTCTGTTATTCTGAGATGTAATGATTGAGCCCCATAGAGGGTAAGGTATTGCAAATACCTGTTTGATAAAAAATCATGCTGTTGTGAATAACCTGCCTGTTTAAATATGCTTCTATAATTAATATTATATATTCCCTTTGTATATGTTGATTTTGCCTTTGACATTTACAGCCTTAAGAGATTCAAATCTTTATCAATCCAAATGACCTGATAAGCCTCTTATGTCTACCAACTTCTACAAAATGTCTCTGTCCTACCAAGTGGCTCTTTTATAGGACCTATTTTCTTTAGTTTATGGTTTATCAGTAGATGTTGCTTAATAAGAATTTGTACCCTCTCTTATCTCTTGAGACTTCAGGATTTTGCTTTCATTGACTGTGTTTTGAGCTATCTAAATGCTTTATAAATATTGTTTGAGATTTAAAAGTATTTCATGCTACATTTCAAAATAAAATTGCAAGACTTATGTGCCCATTTATTCACAAATATTGTCATCTGATTATCTCAAAATTTGTTCCTTCCATCTCCTCAACTTGGACCTTGTGGCAAAATATTGGTCTGTATTTCAGTTCACATGGGTTTACTACAGCCTTACCATGTTTCTAAAGAGGAAACTGGTCTGTAGATTTCCAGATATAACAAGACTAACTTTCAAAAAATAAAAATGTGTATATTAACTTCACTTTTCTTTTCTCTCTTTGTAACTTTTACTGTAACCGCTCCATTGGTATCAATCCTTCTGTATCCCTTTTGTTACATTTCATCTGTAATTTCAGGAAAATTCAGTCATTTAATTTTTGCAGGAATTTTCTACTTGTTTTTGTAACTACCTCCAATTTATTATACTCTCACTAATATTTCCATTTTCTATTTAAACTGCATCAGCCTTCCTTGGCTTCAGTACAGAGAAGCTTTTTGTATTAAGTACTTATTTAATAAAGACGCAGGTCACCTTGCTGCAGAAATCCATTATAAAGTATGTGACACTATTAAATCATAGGAAGCTGTATGAAAAATCTGTAAGAGGAAATCCCGTGAGGTGTAAGAACATTTATCTCTGTTCAGTCATACAGCAACCACCTTATCTAATGTTAACGCCTCACGGTTCATTTTGTGCCTTTCATAATTTACTAAGTTTATGAGTCTGAAATTAATGCTTTTATTTTAATCTGGGAATATAGGAAATATGTTTATTTCTGTGAAAAATTTCTATGAATCTGTATGACGGTTGAGTTGGATTGGAAAAATGTCTTTTTTGGGGGGTAAAACATAAAATAAAGCTATTGGAACATCGAAAAAGTCTTCACAGAAGATTTTTCTTTAAAAAATATATATACTAAACGTTATATGATGTTGTTTTTGAAAAACATGTTAAGCTACGTGGTGGAAATCAGAATGCATTACTCAGTGAGAAATCAAAGAATGAAAAATCTGTGGAATTAAGAGCATCATGGCCCAGATAGTGGCACAGCTAGTTCCTCTTAGTTCTTGCAAAGAAAGCTTTGTGCTCACAGTATTGGGACAGTATATGCTGTCTAAATCTTGTACCTTGAGTAACTATTATGAAGATACAATATGCAGTGCATTAATTATTGTTAACTTTCTATTATCCTGCTTTGAATGTTTCTTTTATTTTTTCTTTTTAAAATAAAAAAGAACATTGTGGTCAATAACTTTTTGAATCTTTTTTTTTTTTTTTTTTTTTTTTTTTTTTTTACTAATTCCTTATTTCTATTCAGGAAAAAGAAAAGAAGGAAGGAGCAGGGAAGAAGGAAGGTGGAAAGGAAGGGAGGAAGGAAAGGAGGGGAAAAGAAGGATGGGAGGGGATGAGAGCCAAGCAGAAGGAGAAACACAGAAGGAAAAGAAGGAAAGACGCGGAACGTGAAGAGAAGGGAGGAAGGACAGGAGGAGGGAGAAGGGAGGGAGAGGGAGAGGAAAGGAGAGGGGAGACAGCAAACAGGAGGAAGGAGGCGGGAGCGAGACAGAGGAAGAAAGGCATGCGGAGAAAAGGAAATAAAGGGGGCAGGAAAGGGACAGAGGAAACAGGAAGAAAGGAAAGAAGGCAAGCAAGCAAGGGAGAAGGGGGAGCAAAGGAGGAAGGAGGGCAGCAGGGACGGAAGGCCTTTAACCGCGTGGAGCAGGGGCGTGGCCAAAGCTTGGGTCTCTTATTTGGGGTAGGTCACCTCTATTTCTAGTATTATCTTTGCAGTAAAATCTAAATCTCTCAATTCATCTTGTTTAGAAAGGAGAAACGCTTCCTTACAGCTTCGCACGTTTAGTGACAGCAGGCCTGACTTAAAGTGAACCCTGTGTTTCAGACCCTGGTTCTCCTGCACACGCCTCGCTGCTCGCGTCCTCCCCGCACAGTCCTCCCCGCACAGGCCTCCCCGCACAGTCCTCCCCCGCACAGGCCTCCCCTCACAGGCCTCCCCGCACAGTCCTCCCCCGCACAGTCCTCCCCCGTACAGTCCTCCCCCGTACAGGCCTCCCCCGCACAGGCCTCCCTTCACAGGCCTCCCCCGTACAGGCCTCCCCCGTACAGTCCTCCCCCGTACAGGCCTCCCCCGCACAGTCCTCCCCCGTACAGGCCTCCCCCGCACAGGCCTCCCCCGCACAGCCCTCCCCCGTACAGTCCTCCCCCGCACAGTCCTCCCCCGCACAGTCCTCCCCCGTACAGGCCTCCCCCGCACAGTCCTCCCCCGCACAGTCCTCCCCCGCACAGTCCTCCCCCGTACAGTCCTCCCCCGTACAGGCCTCCCCGCACAGTCCTCCCCCGCACAGGCCTCCCTTCACAGGCCTCCCCGCACAGTCCTCCCCCGCACAGTCCTCCCCCGTACAGGCCTCCCTTCACAGGCCTCCCCCGCACAGTCCTCCCCCGTACAGTCCTCCCCGCACAGTCCTCCCCGCACAGGCCTCCCCGCACAGTCCTCCCCCGCACAGGCCTCCCTTCACAGGCCTCCCCGCACAGTCCTCCCCCGCACAGTCCTCCCCCGTACAGGCCTCCCTTCACAGGCCTCCCCCGCACAGCCCTCCCCCTCACAGTCCTCCCCCGTACAGGCCTCCCCCGTACAGTCCTCCCCCGTACAGGCCTCCCCCGCACAGTCCTCCCCCGTACAGTCCTCCCCCGCACAGTCCTCCCCCGTACAGGCCCTCCCGCACAATCCTCCCCCGCACAGTCCTCCCCCGTACAGGCCTCCCCCGCACAGTCCTCCCCCGCACAGTCCTCCCCCGCACAGGCCTCCCCCGCACAGTCCTCCCCCGCACAGTCCTCCCCCGTACAGTCCTCCCCCGCACAGTCCTCCCCCGCACAGTCCTCCCCGCACAGTCCTCCCCCGCACAGTCCTCCCCCGTACAGGCCTCCCCCGCACAGTCCTCCCCCGCACAGTCCTCCCCCGCACAGTCCTCCCCCGCACAGTCCTCCCCCGCACAGTCCTCCCCCGCACAGTCCTCCCCCGCACAGTCCTCCCCCGCACAGGCCTCCCCCGCACAGTCCTCCCCCGCACAGGCCTCCCCCGCACAGTCCTCCCCCGCACAGTCCTCCCCCGCACTGTCCTCCCCCGCACAGTCCTCCCCCGCACAGTCCTCCCCCGCACAGTCCTCCCCCGCACAGTCCTCCCCCGCACAGTCCTCCCCCGTACAGGCCTCCCCCGCACAGTCCTCCCCCGCACAGTCCTCCCCGCACAGTCCTCCCCCGCACAGCCCCCCCCCCCACGTGGCACTGCACGTGCCAGGCTTCCCCTTACCGAGCTCTCCCTGATCCCAGCGAGGCAGCCCACCTCGCAGGGCCAAAGCGGCCTCATGTCTGAACAGAACGCAGGAGCTTGCACGGTGAGGGCAGAGCCAACAGCACAGCCAGGAAGTGAAGAAAACAGAAGGTGACTGCCCAGAGTGAGTAAGTTATGGGTGCACAGTTACTTCCAGTGAATCCGTTCTGAGAGGCAGCAGCGTGTGGATTTTACCAGGAAGCCTGTGCACACCCTCCAGCTCGGGGCACAGGCCGCGGATCCAGCAGGCGCAGTGTGAGGTCGCAGTCCAAAGAGGGCGCTGCATGTTCCTCTAGAGATGCGGTATTTCTACACTGACCCTTTTGTGAACTAAATAGAACTGTGTGTGAATCCTGTGATTTCTTATCCTGTCTAGCTTAGCTGATATATAGTTTATCATTTTCAAGCAGTAGTTTAGCATCTGAACTGCTTTTCCTGGTAACTTTTAGCTCCCAAAGTTTCTTTAGAGAACTCTCCAGTTAACTGTTATTATTCAGTGCTCTCACTGTCTTCTATTGAATTTACTTACTAAAATGCAGGTAGAACTAAAAAAAATTTTTTAAATGTTGAGTCATCAACATATATGCATATGTATGCATGTGGATTCCTTTTTTCGTTTTGTTTTGTTTGCTTGTTTACACAATCTCCATCCAACTTTCCCTTGTAATTCAAAAGTTTTCTGTGATGAAGTTTGCTTTAATTACTGTTGACATTTTCAGAGACCGAGAATTTGCACAGGAAGTTACTGGAATAATAATATGATACCTGTAGGCCTCAAATCTTCAAGTAGACAGCACTTATTGATGGATCCCAAATTTGTTCTTTTTCTCTCCTTAATTTTTCTTTTTTTAAATATGAAACCTCAAGGGAGTAATTTTAGCTGAAAAATCAGATTAGAGCTCATAGAACACCACAAAACATTTTTTAATTGACAAACCATAAATACCACTTTAAAATATATGTATTTTTAACACAACTAATTTAATAAAACCTTTCTTTTTCCTGGATGGTTCATTAATATTTTATGATGATGATCATAGTCATTAATTTGCATTCTTCACCGACTTCCCTCAGTCTGCATAGAAGGCGTTAAATTTTTTCTTGAGTGCTAAGCATGGTGGTAGGAGTCCATGATCCACACTCAGAAGACTAAGGCAGGAGAAGAGCTGTGAGATGGAAGCCAGCCTGAACTACGTAGAGAGACCTGATCTCTATAAACTAAAAACAAAGCAAAGAAACAAAAGCCCCAATAGAAATAAAATAAATTTTATATTGATTAGTTTCCAATTATACATATATCCAGGCAAAACCAGACACTACTTTTCAAAATATGTATATATTTATTTACCTTCTCAAAGTAAAAGATCCATTTCTGTGATTATAAGGGGTAATATAAATAACATTTGGTATTTTATTCTTGGTTACACACTGTTGTTTATTACTAGTGGAATCACTCCTAACATAAATATCGGTTGAACATTTCTTGTGTGTTCATTCCCGTTAGGAGCATAAAGGTAGATTATCACCCATTGTCTTATATAATTGTTTTAAAACTACTGTGAATAATTACTGTTACTTCTAGACTGAAATGAGGTTCCACGGCATCCAGCGCGGCTCTTAAAATTCTAGGACTGTGAGGATGAAGAAATGAGGACCAGAGTCTGCGGAATGCTGAGGGCAGGTGGCGCCCTCTCCTGATGGGAGAGAGGATTGTTCAACTGCAGCGTCTCTATTAACACAATTAGCAGAGGCTGTTGGCGCAGGATTTAAGGGGAGGGTGAGATCCGGAAGAGAAGCAAAGCTTGAGTCTGGCGCCTTAGACCACTCGGCCAGCCTGACACCTAAAAGAAAGGACCTCTAATCTTCTGCAAAACGCCGCACCGTGTGGTTTCACAAGGAACAAGAGGGGAAGTGACTGTGGCACCCAAAGGTGCTACAGCTCTCTTAGCTGCGTGCACTTCTCCTGCGGTCCTGCCTAACTCCTGAGAAGCGGCATCCTCATCCGAAGTAACGGACAGCTTCGCTCTCAGAAGGATTCAGAAAGCTAGTAAATGTCCGAGACCTTGTAGCTGTAAGACATTTACATGTCTGTTACACTTTTCAAAACCCTGCAGTGCATAGGTCACAGGTAGTATAAACAGCTAAGGTACACCTCGTGGTTTTGCTCTGTAAAACATTCTCTGAGAAGTGGGCCCAGTGGAGTCCCAATTTTGGGTCCCCTCTTTTCTGTCAGTTATCGCTCTAAATAGATATTTCCTACTCTTAACCTCCACTGTTCCTTAGAATTTATTCTTCCAGTTTAGGAAACAATTTGGCGTAACTGACATCTAATAGGTTAGGAGTTACATTTTCCCCTTAATCAGTCTGACAGATATGTGAGAATCATTTTTAAGATGCAAATTCAAAGATATTTCTCAGAACTTTGGCAAGTCATTGGTAACGGTTGTAGGTGGATTTTTGTTATTTTTTCTATTTTTTTATTATTGATGAGGTTTCTTGTTCCTGCACAAATATTTGTTTTTGCTTAGATTTGCTCATTGACCAGTTATTAGGTATAGACACACTCATTATGTTTTATCTCCTCTCAGATAAAAATTGACACTTTGATACTAGATTTTCATTCAATTTTTGTCCATGACATGTTTGACCCCAATAAATATACGTTTGAAAAAGAGAAAGTAGTAGAGCCTGTCCTTTGAGGGCGCCAGGGAGCAGGTTTCCCAAGGCTACAGTTCCTTAAATACGGAAAAGTTGTTCCCTGGTTTTCTCCCAGGGAACATGTTCCCACCCCACAGCTGGGCAAGTTAGAGTTCAAGCAGCGTCTCTGAGCTGGTGAGACAAATATAAGAGTTCTAGGCTCCTAAAATACCTGGCATCTTCTGAGCACGATTCGAGAAAATAGCAAGTTGGGTAGAGAAAGGAACCCTGAAGTCTGCATGAGGATTTGAAGCAGGGCAGTGGCTGAGAGCAGCGGGGCAGGCATGGGACAAATGGCTGGATGCACAGTCAAAGATGCTTTCCGCAGGGAGAGGAGCAGGGCGAAGGGCTCGAAGGGCTCTCCGTGGAGAAGGCAGGGGCTGGTTCCAGAAGCTTGAAAACCCGTCCAACCAATTCAGATGTGCAAACAGAATTTCTGGAAAGCAATAAAAGAATAATAGTAAAGACTACCTTATAAAGTGAAGGTCACTTTCTAGGAATCAGTTCAAAGTTGCAGTCAGCCTCAGGATTATTTTAAAAATGAAAATCCTTATACCTTAGAGAGCATAAAACCAATCTTCACAAGAATGATAGAATCTCCCATTGATTGACGTTTCCATAAAGAAAGAGTCATCACAATCCACTGCTGACGGCACATTCCTAAAATATCTAAAATAAAATTTCAAACCCAGGACTTTCAAAAGCAATGACTGTGAAACAAAGTTCTCAATATAAATAGACTATGCAATATTCTGTATGTCACAATTAACTGATAAAATTACTTGAAGCCCACGGACATAAAGAGAAAAATGTTAATCATAAGTGAGCAAATGATAAATCTTAGTAAAGAAACTAAAAGTTAAGAAAAAATCCAAATGAAAATTTTAGGATGAAACAATACAATAGCTACATTGAAAAAATAGTCACTGAGTGGGCTTAAAAGCAGTTTTGAGAGACTGATTGCAAAAGGATTATTCTATCTAAAGATGAACAAAGAAGAAATATTTATTTCAAAATTAGAATATAAGTCTGAAAGGAAATTAATACAACTTACTCGTCCTCAGTGAAATTGGTAAATACAGTCTGAAATAGCGTACAGTATATTAGAAAATTGCTGAGAAATTATTTTCTCGTAACAAGAAAGTGAGGTATGCTAATTATCTTGATTTAAATACCCCTTAATATGTATGTATATTTGTATGTACTATATATAACTAATATCTAAGGTATATCATATGCATATAATCATATTGTATACAGCTCATACGTACATAGTTACTTTTTGCTAATAAAAGTAATTGGGAACCATGGCACCGGCATGTGACCTTGACAATCAAGGAATCAGAGGCAGAGGGAACATTTGAGCCCAGGACTTGTTCGAGATCAGCCCGAGCAACATAATAAGACAACATCTAAAACTGAATAAATCAATACATAAATTTAAATAAAATTCATAAAGCTACAGTAACCAAAGCAAAAAAAAAATGTCAAATCTAAAAGACAGTGGAATTCCTTTACTGACAGAGGAACACAAATAGCAGAAAACATTTATATGAAGAAATGTCTTAATCTTGTTCTAAAAAATTCCATAGCCAAGAAACTCAATGTATGCCCAAAATTGAAAGTACAAACAATCATCCGTTGTCTAATCACAATCATATTGTGTCAGAGTTAGGACGGAGAGAAATTGTAGGACCTGTCAAAATAAAGATGACGTCCTGAAACTATTGGAAAACAGCTGATTTCTCATCAGAAATAGTTGATGCTAGAAAACAATCAAACAACAACTGTAATGTAGTGGAGGAAAAGTTTGTCTACAATCTCTATGCACTGAAAAAAATATCCTATAAGAGGTGGAGTAAAGATATTTCCAGACAAAAGTAGAGAGTCTCAACCACTACCACTATTTTAACCTTGCGGGCAGAATGTCCTTGAGCTGAAGGTAAGTATCATGTGATGCAAACGGTTACCAGGCAGACACACTGTCCTCCCAACCAGAACATCTGGGGCGGTGGTCACACTATAAGATGTGGGCTGAGTCCTGCCTCCTGACTGCTTTGTAGAGTTTTATTGGAACGCAGCCACCCCTATCCGTTTCTGTGTCTGCAGCTGCTTTTGTCCTACGATTGGAGAACTGAATTTTGACCAAGATTGTATTTTGGTCTTTGCAGGAAGAAAAAAAAAAAAATGCCAAGTCTTATCACAGAAGACAAAAAGCAGAGAATATGATAAAAGCATAGCAGGGAGAAAGTACTATGCAATATAACACAAATGCGAGATTGAAATCCATCCGGCTCCTCGACATGACAGAGAGCTACTTAGAAATACTAATCAGTAGAATGAAA